GTATATGCTCACAACTCTAACTACTTGTGAAATCTCAGGACGCATGCACACCATTGCATACATCAAGCTCCCAACTGCATTAGCATATGGAACTTTTGCCATATACTCTCGTTCTTTGTTAGTTTTAGGAGATAATTGAGAAGCCAGTGGGATACTTACATGTTTGGTATTTTCATTCATGCCAAAACATTGTAATACATTTCTCAGATATTGCTTCTGTGTTAAACAAAGCTTCCCTCTCTGTCTATCTCTGCTTATCTCCATACCAAGAATCTTCTTGGCCTCATCTAGATCTTTCATCTCAAACTCTTGATTCAACTGAGCCTTTAATTTGTCTATCTCCTTTTGACTCTTCGAAGCGATCAACATATCGTCAACGTACAAGAGAATATAAATGAAAGATCCATCTTTGAGCTTTTGTAAATACACACAATGTTCATATTTGCTTCTAGTGTACTTTTGCCTCCTCATAAAGCTATCAAATCGCTTGTACCACTGCCTCGAAGATTGCTTCAATCCATATAGCGATTTGTTCAGCTTACAAACACATTTCTCACAACCACCATCTTTGTATCCTTCTGGCTGAGTCATATAGATCTCCTCTTCTAAATCACCGTGCAAGAAAGCCATCTTTACATCAAGTTGAGCTAGCTCCAAATTCAACTGTGCTACCAAGGCCAACAATATTCTAATGGAGGAATGCTTCACAACATGGGAAAATACTTCATTGTAGTCGATCCCCTCCTTTTGAGCGTATGCATTGTAGCGAACATATTTCTTGCTATGAGATCCATCTTTCTTTGCAAATACCCACTTGCATCCAATTGCTCTTTTACCTTTCGGTAATTGAGCCAGTTTCCAAGTGTTGTTCTTTTGGAGAGATTGCATTTCTTCATCCATGGCACTTTTCCACTTATCACTTTCCAAGCTTTGTATTGCTTCTTGGTAAGTGATAGGGATATCATCATCAACAACTGGAAGAGCATAGACCACCATATCAACAAATCGAGCAGGTATACAAATTTCTCTCGTTGGCCTTGTAACTGCAAGTGGTTCTGGTGTCTCCAATAGTTCTTGGGTTTGAACCTCTTCATCTTCTGATTCTTCTATTGGAGTTGAAGAATCAACTGCATCAACTTCTGGGATCATCTTCTACTGAAACTCCACCTATTTTGGAGTATGCTCAACCTGCTGTGGGGTACTACTTGTCTGGACAGCTTCATTTGTTACCTTCTTTATTAGGGCAGATTCATCAAAGGTAACATCTCTGCTTTGGTATCTAAACACCAAATGCGGATTCTCTTCACTCCATGGGTGATTCCCATAAAGAAAGCCTTCTTTGCTCTCGGATCAAGCTTGGATTCCTTCACATGATAATAAGCAGTGGATCCAAATACATGTAAGGAATCATAATCAGTAGCATATTTTCCAGACCATACCTCTAATGGTGTTTTTCCTCCTATCACTGATGACGGTAGACTATTGATGAGATGGCCAGCATATGTCACATCCTCAGTCCAAAATGCCTTGCCTAACCCAACATTAGACAACATACATCGAACTTTCTCCAATAGTGTTCGATTCATACGCTCTGCCACCCCATTCTGTTATGGTGTATTTCTAACCGTGAAGTGTCGAACAATACCATACTCATGGAAAACGTCAAAGAATGGGTCACTTTTATATTCCCTTCCATTATATGTCCTAAGACGTTTGATCTTTCTACCAGTCTGGTTCTCGATCATATTTTTTCATTTTAGGAAAATTTGGAGCACTTCATCTTTAGACTTCATCGGATACACCCAAACTCTTCTGGAAAAGTCATCTACAAAAGTTATAAAATAATGGTTTCCTCTCAAAGACGATGTCTTTGAAGGGCCCCATACATCTGAGTGAATATAATCCACAATACCTTTTGTATTATGTATAGTGGTGCCAAACTTCACTCTCTTCTACTTTCCCAGAACACAATGCTCGCAAAAGTTCAATTTACAAGCCTTTGCACCTTTCAACAATCCTTTCTTTGCCAGAATTTGCAAGGATTTCTCTCCAGCATGTCCCAACCGCATATGCCACAACCGGGTTGCGTCCAAATCATCACCTCCGGAAGCTGCTGCAACTGCTCCAATAATTGTACTACCTTGGTAGTAATACAAATTATTTTTCCTGATTCCTTTCATCATCACAAGTACGCCATATGTGACTTTTAAAACTCCATCTCTCATGGTGACTACTGAGCCTTTGAATTCCAAGGCTCCCAATGAAATGAGATTTTTCTTCAAACTGGGCACGTATCGGACATCAGTCAGAACTCTGGTTGATCCATCTTGATTCTTCAATCGAATTGAACCTATCCCAATAATTTTACAGGCATTGTCATTGCCCATATAAACAACTCCTGTATTTAGTTCTACTAAACAGAGAACCACTCCCGATTAGGGGGCATATGATAGGTGCAACCCGAATCTAATATCCATTCATCTGAATGGAATGTTGTTGATGAAGCAACCAATTATATGTTAAATTCATTTGCATCATGCTCTGCAACACATGCATCTGGAGTAGCTTTTCCTTTCTTTTTCAGCTTCGGACAATCTTTTTTCCAAAGGCCTTTCTCATGAAAAAAGGCACATTCATCTTTTCCCAGACTGGACTTCGACTTTGATCTCCCTCTCCACTTTGGCTTTTGACTTTTCGAGCGACCTCTTGCCACCATGGCTTCCACTGCTTCGTACTTGCTCTCCTTCTTGGTTTTCTTCCTGAGCTCATAACTATACAAAGCAACAGTTACATCTTTAAAGGTAACATTATCCTTACCATGAAGTAGTGTTGTCTCAAGGTGCTCAAATTTATCTGGAAGAGATGACAACAACATCAAGGCCAAATCTTCATCTTTGAAGGTTTTATCCATGCCCAATAAGTCTGCCACTAGCTCATTGAACGCAGTAATGTGTTCATTCATTCTGGTGTCTGGTTGATAATCAAATCTGAACAATCTTTTCTTCATGTGGAGATGATTCTGAGAGCTTTTCTTTAGGAATTTTTTCTCCAATGTTTTCCACATCTTACTTGCAGAAGTCTCGTTCTTGTAGCCATATTTATGCTCCCTGGAAAGACAAGATCGAATCGTACTACACGCCAAACGATTGATTATTCCCCATTCTTTCTCCTCCATATATTCGGGCTTTTCTTCCTCAATGGCGATGTCTAGACCTTGTTGGAATAAAGCGTCTAACACCTCACATTGCCACATGCCAAAATGACCAGATCTATCGAACAACTCCATCAAGAAATTTGCATTTGACATCACCCTCCTCACTGGTCCAGATGAAGAGCTTGATGTCTCAACTAATCCGTATTTTGGCATTTTGATTCTAACGAACAATATTCAATATCACGAGTTGTATCTTTTCAGCAACAGAACCACCAGAATAACCTCAATCGAAGCTCTGATGCCAATTATTGGGGAAATCAGGTTATTTCCTACACGAACGTAGTTTCAAAATTGACCTAAAATGTCAAGATCAAAACCACCAAAGGTTGCACAGTGGATAAACCTGTCAAACTATTGAATATTGAAACACAATGAAAAAAACTGAATAAAAACAATAAAGGAGAGAACACACCAAATTTACGAGGTTCGACGAGAATATCGTCTACTCCTCGGGCACCACACCGGATGATAACTTCACTATATCGCCAATATTACAAAAAATGGAATTCTTTAGAATTCCCAAAGTAGGAGAATGAAAAATACAAAAGGAAGAGAGAAATTGTTTTGGGATGATTTCTAATGAAATACTTAGGCCTATTTATAGTTGAGTTTTAAGGACTAAACTTATAAATAACCTAATATTTTAGGGATCAAACATGAAAAATAAGTTGCCCACCTACCAAAGAATTTTCCAATGTGTACAAGTTAGCCACCAAATATTAAATTCTCATATTCAAAGTTTGGCCACCAACCAAGATGAAATTTCCAATAAGTTGGCCACCAACCAAGATGAAATTTCCAACTTGCCAACTTAATTTCAAGCCAAAACTAACACTAAGCCCCTCAAGTTCATCCATATAGAACCATAGATACCTGTAACTTAGATACATAAGCACAACATTTCATTAGAAAAGTAATGTAAATATGGTTTAAGTGATGAAATGATGGAGTATTTTGCTAAGATAAGAAGACATTATAACCTGATGATTGAGCAGCCTATGACTTTTGAATCCCATGACTGAACCAAGTTGGACGAAGTAGCTTGTCCCTAGCAGAACAAAGCTTGGTAACAACATCACCATGCCCATCCGCTCACTCGGTGATTCAGCAGAACAAGTGAGACCTATTTCGAATATCAATTTCAAGCATTGGAGACTGTCATTTCCCATACTGTTTTTATTGAGAGTGATGTCTGCGACTCTTCTTCCTCTGATACTCTCTTGAAGGAGAATGGGATTTATAATCTCAATCATCGCTCGAGAGAAGCTTCCAAAACAAAGTTGTGAAGACTTAAACCTTCTTTGAACATTTCATCAGTAGGTCTTTTCCCTGTATACATCTCTAGTAAGAGGATGTCATAACTATATACATCACTTTTTGTTGACAGCTCGCTTCCCATGCCATATTCTACAATTAGTTCATCACAAATTACATATACAAATAATTAAGAGCAAAATCCTCTAAATAATTGCAGAAGAAATGAATACAATGTTATTACCTGGTGGAGCATAACCAATAGTTCCTCTTATGCAAATGGAGCATGACTCGTCAGCAAGATGGTTAAGCCTATCTTCATAAAGGATTTTTCCTAAGCCAAAGTCACTTATATGACCAACCATTTCGACATCGAGTAGAAGATTGCTTGGCTTCATATCACAATGAACGACCGATGTTTCACAATGATGGTGCAAATATTCCAGTGCATGAGCAACATCTATGGCAACATTAACTCTTTGGAAAAAGTTCAGATTTCTCATCATATCATGTTCACTCAATGCAACTAGTCCTCCAAGCTTCCATTTTCCATGAACTCAAAAACCAAGGCTTTAAAATCATTGCCTTTGTAATCGACTCCTGAAACAGCTATTAATATCTTGACAAGGTTTCGATGTCGAATGTTCTTTAAGGCCTCGCATTCAGCCAAGAAACTCCTTGATGCTTCACGATTCAGAAGATTAAGCATTTTTACTGCAATAGTTGCTCCACTCTCTTCAATAATTCCTTTGTATACAGAACCGAAACTTCCCGAACCAATCAAATTATGTATGTTAAATCCATCGGTAGCCCTTAAGATGGTTTGATATGATAATTGTAAAAGTGAATTCTCTGAACTAGTTGTTTTTGGTTTTTTCTCTTCCTTCTTCGTAAGCCACAAGAAGAGGCGACAAGCGAACACCAAAGCCACTCCTAAAATCACAATAATAATTGTAATTTTCATTTTAAAGGAAGTGTCTAGTGATTTTTTCAAGTCACATCTTGATAAGTGTAACTTAGGGATGCCTCCACAAACCTTATTGTTTCCCTCAACAAACATAGTACTTGCATTCTTGAAGACTCCTTCACTAGGTAACACTCCCTCAAAATCATTGAAAGAGAGGTTTAAATACTTTAATGCCCTAAGATTCACAAGAAATTTTGGAATCTCACCTGAAAGATTATTATCAGATGTGTCCAATGCTTCAAGACCTCTCAATGAACTCAAAGATGATGGAATGGACCCTTCAAACAAATTGCCATCCAAGAATAGTTTCTCTAGACTTACGCAACTACCAAGGTTGTTTGGAAGCAAACCGGATAACCTGTTTTGAGAAACGCACAATTGACCTAGATTTCTCAATTTTTCTACTTCAACAGAAAGCTCGACAGTCAAATGGTTTGATGACAAGTCTAGTAAAATGGTCAAGGATGGGAGTCCAAGTACTTCACTAGGTATTGGTCCACCAAGATTGTTATTAGAAAGATCCAAAGAAAGCAACATTTGGCACTTACCTAGACTTGAAGGAATGTTATCCTTAAGGTTGTTAAAACCTAAAGCAAGTTTGGTTAACATCGTTAAATTTCCAATAGAATGGGGAATAGACCCAGAGAGTGAATTAGTATGACTGTAAAAGATCTTTAGCTTCTGAAGCCTACCATTGTCAAAAGGAATGGGGCCTGATAGCTGATTTATTGAAGCATCTAGCGCGTCCAAATTAATGAGATTTCCAATCCCATCTGGGATTCTTCCCACTATTTTGTTCTCAGCTATTTCTATTTGCAAAAGGGTTGTAGAAAAATTGCTAATGCATTCGGGAAATTTCCCTTCAAAATTATTTATGCTCGTATGTAGAATTTCTAGTTTGGTATTGTTGACTAAAGTGCAGAGAAAGTTCAAGTCACATTCTCTCCCATGTCCCAAATAGTTTTCGTATAAGGTTAAAATTAATATTTTATCCAGCTTTGCTAATGAAGGCACGTCTCCACTCAATTTGATATCACCAAATTCAAGTACATTCAGATTTGAGGCATTGGATATTGAAACAGGGATTTGTCCAGAGATTTGGTTTTGAAATATTGAAAAGAACTCATATATGGCGTAGTGATTTCTAAGTCAGAGTGAAGAGTAACTTGAATCTTGTTTGCACCAATATCAAAGACTCTAAGACTGGAGAGGTTGAACATTGAGACAAGAAGAATGCCAGATATTTCATTTGAAGCTACAGTGAAAATTAAAAGATTTGTTAGTCGTCCAAGAGCTTCAGGTATAATCCCAGTTAATCCATTAATCGTCAAATCAAGCTCCTCCATGGATGACAAGTTCCCCAACGAGGGTGGGATATTCCCTCTCAAACTGTTGTTCCCAAACCTCAAGATTTTCAGGTTAGACAAGAGACCCAATGAAGCATGTATTTCTCCTGTTAGCTGGTTGCCTGTCATATCAACCAATGTAAGCTTAGAACAAGCTGATAAATTGAACGGAATTTCACCACTGATGGAGTTATTGGTGAGGTCTAATGTTTCCAGTCTTTTTAAACGACCAATTTCTGAAGGAATCTCGTTGTAAAAGTTGTTTCCCACTAGATTCAACTCTCTGAGAAAGCTCAAGTTTCCAATGTAGGGTGATAAAGACCCTGAGAGTTCGAGGAGTTTCAATTCCAACTTGGTGATTCTCTAATGCTTGCGACCGCATGTAACGCCACGCCACTGACAGAAGTGGATGGAGCTATTCCAGGACTTCATAACCTTGAGCTGATCACCTGTTATCTCGGCCTTGAACTGGAGTAAAGCTTGTTGATCAGTGTCATTTCCTCTAACAACAGGGGTTTCTGTTGTTGTTGCTATACCAAGCGCGTTAAGACCCTGCAAGTTGAAGCACGAGAGAATAATTATAGCTTCAAAGCAAACAAGGAGAAAAGAGATGGAGGCTTCAGAATGCTTTCTTGTTAGCTCCATGGAACTGAAACAATTTCTTAATTGGTGAGATTGATTTGTATTTGAGAGTGTTTGGTTCATCAACAAGAAGAAGATTTATGGAACCCTGATATTAACTTCTTCTATGTTTTCCAACTATGAAAGTCACATGGCCACGTTTTCCATGGCCCTGTTTCAATTAGACGCGTCTACATGGGTTTGGTTTTGTATGGTTGATATATTCAACAACACATGAATTTCGTGTATAAGAAAATGACGAGGAGACTTGTCAAGTCAACGCTGGGGAGAAAGCTGGATTCCATGGAGACATCACAATACTTGCCGCATGAACATGAAATGATACTCTTTTCACAAGCCAATGGACTAACTTCAAGCCTTCAAGGCATAATTAAACCTTCAAAATGGTCAAAACTTGATTGATTTCTTGTGCCAGTTTCTTGTGGATTAACTTCAGTTTCTTATAAGTTTAGTTTTCCTTTTAAAGAAATAAATTTAAATTTGAATTCAAGTTTTTGGAGAATTAGATCAAATCAGGTAACGTGTGTAAAAGTATAAAATCTTAACTCGACACGACCTATTATGTTCATCTTTAATTAAGATGCAGAGACGATTCATGAGGAATGATTCAACACGGTATTTGTAGACAAGTCTGTTTACTTTTATTACGCGATTCATGAGGAATGGTTCAAGTTCAACACGGTATTTGTAGACAAGTCTGTTTACTTTTATTACGCGGAAATCTACAGAAGCTGACCTTTTGGAGATATAATTTCAAATGTTTCATATATAGATTGTTCACCTTAAGCAATAATCAGTCAGAAGATCAGCCATGGCCGTAAAGGAATTGTGGGTTGAGAATTGCAGCAAAAGAGATGATTTAGATCAGCTTGACGTTGTCGAGAATGAACCTAGACCACCATCACGTAGCTGTTCGGCATGGCCAATGCTTGAAAGCAAACAACGCCGCGGCACATCGTTGATGATATTCCTCAAACTAGCGGTTGCTGCTTTACTAGGAGATCCGTCTTTGTTCGTTTCTTCGATGTTTCAGTTTAATCATATGTAGTTTCTAGGGTTTGCCCTACTTTTCTTGTCTCATTATATTAATTCTTCATGATGAACAAAACTCAATTCCATTAGATTTAAATTCCCTAATCCCTATTTCATTTTAAGTCCGTTTTCTTTATGAAATTTGAATCACATTTCTATCACTATAAAATGTCTATGTAACTTCAATTCTTATCTTTAATAACAAATTCATTCTTTTTTTTAATTTAATCTATTAACTTTGTATTTTATTCAATTTGATTTTTCTTACTGCAAGTTTTTTTCCAACTTCATTCTTCCAATCATTTTTTTGAATGTTTTATACTCCTATCAATAATTCATCCCTAAAATACTTTCTTCATCAAATAAAATTATAAATATATTTTATAATTTTCAATAACATTTGATTTATTAAATAATATATATGGCTAGATAAAGTTGTTAAATTGGATCAACCCACACCATAACATTAAAAATATGTATAATTAAATTTGAACAGAAATTCAAAAGCTCGACTTAAAAAAAGCCAATTACATGCATACACCGCATAGATATATCAATGCTTGTGAATTTAAAGGAGTTTACAAATCTGGCTTTGAGAGAAAAAAATTAGGAATTTTTTGCATAAATTTAATAATGAAAAAAAATTAAATTAAACGACGCTAAATAAAGACTTTACGGTTGACTTGAGTGACGGAAAAGAGCAAAATTTGAAAGTTTAGAGATAAAATTGAAAATTCTAAAAATTGAGTGGCCAAAATAGAAACTCGTTGAAAGTTAGGTGACAATATGTAATTTACACAAATCGTTATTATCCTATATGGTATTCTTAATAAGCAGTCACAGAGATCGTGGTCATAAGTGTAAATGGAGTTATGACCACAACAACCCCCCTTTATCATCATTATCCACTTGCCAATCCTATGAACTAAACTAGGATCAAATATTGAAAATTGTCTAATTTAAAAGAATATTGAACTTAAAAATTGAGGACAAAACCTAATTTAACTAATATTTAAACTAAGAGAACCTGCGGGAGAAATAAACAATAGACACGCACGATTATACTTTCCGAGCTCTCATTTCTAATTACTTACTCAGTAATTAGCTTTTCTGGTAATAATAAGCAACAAACTAAGAGAGTTTGAGTCCATCATTATTGTATTTAAAGAAATTATACAGTAGACATGAACCAGTTTGAACAAATTATTGGTGGAAAACTGGAACAACTCCATGTTTGTTTTCTTTTCTCATAGCAGAATGTAAACAAAAGAGAACAACAAGCGCTTCTCAGAACCAAGCCTCACAAGTTCATACATACGACACCTTAGATACCTGCAATTTATGAACAATGACTTATGTAATCACACCATTTCAACAGAAACGTAATGTAATTGTGGCTTGAGCGATGAAATGATCTAGTAATTTACTAAGATATGAAAGCATCATAACCTGATGATTGAGCAATGTATGAAGTTTAAATCCCACGATGGAATCAAGTTGGAGGAAGAAGCTTGTCCCTCGCAGAACAAAGCTTGGTAACAACAACATTTATGGGCATCCGCTCACTCGATGATTCGGCTGAACAAGTGAGACCTATTTCGAATATCAAATTCAAGCACCGAAGACTGTCATTTCTCATTCTGTTTTCATTGCGAGTGATATCTGTAATTGTTCCTCCTCTGACACTATCTTGAAGATGGATGGGATCTATAATCTCAATAAGGAAAAGCTTCTCTAACAAAGTTGTGAAGACTTAAACCTTCCATGAACATTTCATCAGTTGGCCTTTTCCCAGTAAACATCTCTAGCAAGAGGATGCCATAACTATACACGTCACCTTTTGTTGATAGCTCGCTTCCCATGCCATATTCTACAAATGGTTCATCACAAATTACATATATAAACAATTGAAGAGAAAAACACTCTAAATAATTGTAGAAGAAATGAATACAATGTAATTAATTACCTGGTGGTGCATAACCAATAGTTCCTCTTATGCCAAGGGAGCTCGACTGATTAGCAGGTTGATTAAACCTATCTTCATAAAGGACTTTTGCTAAGCCAAAGTCACTTATGTGGCCAACCATTTCGTCGTCGAGTAGAATATTGCTTGGCTTGAGGTCACTATGAATGATCGATGTTTCACAATCATAGTGTAGATATTCGAGTGCATAAGCAACATCTACGACCACATTAACTCTTTGGAAGAAGTTCAAGTTTCTCATCCTCTCCGATTCGTTAATGGTGATAGATGGATGCAGCCAGTCCTCCAAGCTTCCATTTTGCATGAACTCATAAACCATGGCTTTAAAATCATTGCCTTTGTAATCGACCCCCGAAACGACTGTCAATACCTTGACAAGATTTCGGTGCCGAATGTTCCTCAAGGCCTCACATTCAGTCAAGAAACTCCTCGTTGCTCCACGATTTAGAAGATTAAGCACCTTTACTGCAATAGTTGCTCCACTCTCTTCGAGAATTCCTTTGTATACAGAACCAAAACTTCCGGAACCAATCAAATTCTGTATGACGAATCCATCGGTAGCCTTTAGGATGATTTGGTATGATAATTGTAAAAGCGAATTTTCTACACAAGTTGATGTAGGCTTTTGCTCTTTCTTATTTTTAAACCACAAGATGACGAGACAAGTGAAAACCAAAATCACTCCTAAAATCACAACAATAATTGTAATTTTCAATTTAAGGGAAGTGTTTGATGATTTTTTCAAGTCACATCTCGACAAATGTAACTCAGGGATGCCTCCACAAAGCTTACAGTTTCCCTCAACGAACGTAGCACTTGCATTCTTGAAGACTCCTTCACTCGGTAACACTCCCTCAAAATAATTAAAAGAGAGGTTTAAATACTTTAATGCCCTAAAATTTACAAGAAATTCTGGAATATTACCTGAAAGATTATTGTGAGATATGTCCAATGCCTCAAGGCCTCTCAACGAACTCAAAGATGATGGAATGGAGCCTTCAAACAAATTGCCTTCCAAAAACAGCTTCTCTAGACTTACGCAGCTACCGAGGTTGTTTGAAAGCAGACCATATAATTTGTTGTGAGAAAGATCCAATTCACCTAGATTTTTCAGTTTTTCTACTTCATCAGGAAGCTCGCCAGTTAAATGGTTTGAAGATAAGTTAAGTAAAATGGTCAAGGATGGGATTCCAAGTACTTGAGGCGGTATTGGTCCACTAAGATTGTTTTCGGAAAGATCCAAACATAACAACATTTGGCACTTGCCTAGACTTGAAGGAATTCTGCCCTGAAGATTGTTATGATCTAAAAAAAGTTTAGTTAACGTTGTTAAATTTCCAATAGAATTTGGAATAACCCCAGAGAGAGAATTAGTATCAGCATATAACATCTTTAGCTTCTGAAGCCTCCCAATACCAAAGGGAATGGGGCCTGATAGTTGATTTATTGAAGCCGCTAACACTTCCAAATTGATGAGATTTCCAATCCCATACGGGATTCTTCCCAATATTTTGTTCCCTTTTATTTCTATTTGTAAAAGGGTTCTTGAAAAATTGCTTATGCATTGGGGAAATACCCCTCCGAAATTATTGAAGCCTATATACAGAAATTCTAGTTTGGTATTGTTGACTAAAGTGCAGAAAAAGTTGAAGTCGCCTTCTCTCCCATGTCCCAAATGGTTATTGAACAGGGCCAATTTGTTCAGGTTATCCATCTTTTCTAAAGAAGGCACATCTCCACTGAATTTGTTATCACCAAATTGAAGTACATTCAGATTTGAGGCATTGGATATTGAAACAGGGATTTGTCCAGAGATTTGGTTTTTGGCTATGGAAAAGAACTCAATATGTGGCATAGTGATTTCTAAGTCAGAGTGAAGAGTACCTTGAATCTTGTTTCCACCAATATCAAAGACTCTAAGACTGGAGAGATTGAACATTGAGACAGGAAAAATACCATATATTTCATTTTGGGCTACGGTGAAAATTGAAAGACTGGTCAGCCGTGCAAGAGCTTCAGATATATTCCCATTTAACGCGTTATAACCCAAACCTAGTCCCTCCAGAGATGATATGTTTCCTAATGAAGGTGGGATACTCCCTCCCAAACTGTTGTTCCTGAAACTCAAAGCTTTCAAGTTTGGCAATAGACCCAACGAAGTAGGTATTTCTCCTGTTAGTTGGTTGCCTCTCATATCAACGAATGTAAGCTTAGAGCAAGCAGATAAATTGGAAGGAATTCCACCACTGATGGAGTTATTCGCCAGTTCCAATGTTTCCAGTCTTTTTAAACGGCCAATTTCTGAAGGAATCTCGTTGTAGAAGTTGTTTCCCACTAGACTCAACTCCCTGAGAAAGCTCAAGTTTCCAATGTAGGGTGATAATGATCCCGAGAGTTTGAGGAATGACAGTTCCAACTTGGTGACTCTCTGATGTTTGCGACCGCATATAACACCACGCCACTGACAGAAGTGAATGGAACTATTCCAGGACTCCATAATCTTGAGCTGATCACCTACTATATCGGCCTTGAACTGGAGTAAAGCTTGTGGTTGCTGTTGCTATACCATGCGCGTTAAGACCCTGAAAGTTGAAGCACCAGAGAAGAATTATAGCTTCAACGCAAACAAGGAGAAAAGAGATGGAGGCTTCAGAATGCTTTTTTGTTAGCTCCATGGAACTGAAGCAATTTCTTAATAGGTGAGATTGACTTGTATTTGAGAGTGTTTGGTTCATCAACAAGAAGTAGATTTATGGAACTCTGATATTAACATTTTCTATGTTTTCCAACTATGAAAGTCACGTGGCCACGTTTTCCATGGCCCTGCTTCAGTTAGATGCATCTACATGGGTTTGGCTTTGCATGGAACTCTGTTTACTTTTCTTACAGAAGCCGACCTTCTGGAGATTTAATTTCTTTCTTTCATATGTAGATTGTTCACATTAAGCAATAATCCAGACATCGTGGGACAACGGGCGCTCAAATTTTACAAACTGTCTCCTTTAAATTATATTAAGAGTAAATTATACAAGCTATTATTCAACTTGACTTGATATGTCATTTATATCATTGAACTTTCAATTGTTCTAATTATAATATTAAATTTTAATTTTGACTTTAATTATACCGTTGTTTCGTTAAAATTCAAACATCATGATGACAAATAAAACTACATCGTTTTAGCGTGGATATTAATACCTACAATTACATCGTTTTAAAAACTTGTGCAGATCTACCATCGCTAATCACTTGTGTTGATAGCGTGGAACTCAAGCTTTGCGACGAACCTCCGACCGAATGTTTACAATGTCGGAACCGGTTAGTCTCGGATTCGATCAAGAGATTGTTGTATGAGTCTTCCTCCGGTGACTGGTCGGCATTGTTATCATGTGAAATGTATGTCCGATATGTTTTTTGATAAGTAGAGAAGTTGTTTTGAACTCGAATGTTCCGGTACGATATTGGAGCGGACGGAGGTAGGTTTACGAAACAATGGGGAAATCGCGAGGAATAATGACGGTTGGATTATAACTTTTCTCAAATATCTCAAGCTTTCTAATACTTTTGGCTTTAGTTTCTTTCATTTTGGAGATTGAAATAATGTGTATAATATTTGATAACTAATTCAATTTCATTCAATGTACTTAGCTGAGTGTTTGAATGAGTGATAACCTTTATATGTATATTTATAATCTATAATGGTCTAAATTGAGTCGATTGAGAATTTACTCGATTGACATTATTATTGTTATCGTAATATTCAAAATATCATATATATTTTTATGTGTGAAAAATACGTTATATTTAGAAGATCGTAGATTTTAATGTACTTAAACATAATTATCTCCAGTTTAAATCAGGTTAAAGATTATGAATAATTTAAAAATTATCATTGTATGTTCAAAAAAATATTTAATTTGGTTGTTGTTATATTAATGTAATTCGTGCTTATAAAATTTTGAGAGAAATATAAGTTCTAACTATAAATATATTATGGTTAAAATTTTATTATGAGTTTCTTTTTCTTCTAAATTGGATTTTTGTTTGTGAGATTTGTTAATATTATTGTGAAAATGAAAGGGATTTGTTTACTCAATTTGGATGAAATTGAAAAAAATAAAAAAATATATATTTAGAATATTTTTAGTAATCATAGGTTAAATTGATAAAATATGTAAATATTAAAAACTAAATTTGTTATTATGTGAATTATTAAATGATCATGTCACTCTTTCGTTAGAAATTAACAACATAATGACGAAAATAACCCATCTTGAATAGTTCAGCGATGAAAAAAATATTTTTTTAAGTCTGAGTTAATGGAACCTTATCATTTTAAAAAATTAAATTAAGACTAAATAAATATACAGGTTTATTTAAAAATAAAATAAAATCAATATAATATTTAAATATTAAGAACTTAATGTGTTTATGTATCAACTTAAAAGAAATCGCTTCTTCATTTGGTTAATAATTTAAAGATAATTATTCGAAAATATTAATGACAAAATTTTTGATTTTATTAATCCACTATTTGATATATTATCCATGTCCAAACCTAATATGAATTAGCCCATTACTCATTTATTAGTTGCAAGCCCAAAACTCTCCAAAGAAACCCAAAGCCCACAAACCCTTCCAACCCAAATCAGATCAACCCATTAAATCAAATTGGGTCAACTTATAAAGTCAAATTATGTCAAATCGGATTGAGCTAAATTAAGGTATTAAGTCGAGTCAAATTAAATCAAAATGACGTAAATCAATTAAATGGAATTTTTAATCATTCTAATTTATTTTATTGATAATTTTTATGACATTAATTTTATTATTATTTTATTAATATATAAATTAAATAAAAAAATTTGAAAGTTGGAATGATTAAATTAGGAGTAATTTGAAAGTTAAATAACTAAATTACAAAATAAGCTTAAGTGACCAAAATAGGAGTGAGAAGATCGTTGAGTGATGAACGATATAATTTACCAATAAAAAAGTGACATTTTGTAACAATTCCGATAAGTTTTTAACGGCGATGTATCAAAATGAAACAAAAAGTAAACGTTGTGTATGATTTTGAAACAAATGAAAGTCTAGGACTAAAATGAAACAAAACCGATAGTTTAGAGACTAAATGTGTAGTTTACCCTAAATTTTAACTCACACAAATAATCTCCCTTTAAAAATCCATTGAAGCTCCAACTAAACTTAAAAGCTAATCTTCATATAAATAGTTGAATTTGACGTGATTAATCATTGTTTAAGACTTCAACTCTTAACCAACACGTAAAATGGAAAATGAGTGAAGAGAGCTTAGCTTATAGGTACGCCCACCTCTAGTCAAAATCAATCTCTTAGGGATTTGATTACAAGGACAAAATAATTATGTTTCAAGTGATCATTTGCACAAATTTAAAGGCCGATCTAATCAGCTTTAAGGCTAAAGTGAAAGACTTGACACAAATTAAAAAAAAAAAAAAAAAAAAAAAACACCACCTTGTTTTATATCACTAGAATTTTAATTATATTTCATATTGAATTTGTTTGGACCATCGTGTTTTATTTCATATCACTAGAATTTTAATAATATGTTAATATTCTTTTATTTTTATCTATATCAGCTTAACCTTTAAGCACAATTGATGGTCAAATAATAAGGGGGTAATGGCTATACAACACGAATGACAAAATCAATGTCATTAGAAAAAGTAAAAGCAAACGTATAATACTCTCGTGAATCCATCCAATGATTTCAACGACAAAAAGATAATGTTATTCTTCTTAAAAATTTTAGGTTTAACTAACTGTATCCGTAAGGTTTATTTTGTTAATAAATTAAAAATATTCTAAACATACACTACATTGTAATCACTTCAGACTATTAAAAAAACTTACGACACCCTCGTTTTCGATTTCTAATGCTAAGTTCCTTTGTACAAATGGCTTCTCAAAATATTTTACATTACAAACAAGGAAGACTTAATTTTCTATCCTTAGTGTGTTGTTCATCCCTTTTTGTTGATCGAGAACGATATTAATTTTAGTGTTGGTTATCGATCGTCGGTATTCTCTATTGTCCTTTTATTTTCTCATATCACATCTTTATTTTTCTTTTTTTTTTAATTTTCAATAATTATGTTTGTATGACACGTTTTATTCTATCTTTTGACATGTTTTTCGGTTGTTTGATTTTTGTTTCATTTATCTTTTTCTAAAGATTGATTTGGCATCGCTACGACTAATCAAGATAATGTTTATTTCTTATCTTGTTAATCTTCTCTGCTTTAGACCATTGGATTAGATATGAATACTCGATTTGTGTTCGTAGATAACTTTTCACGTCGCTTTAGTCTGATTTGCAGTTTATCGATATTCTTTTAGTAACTTGATCCCCTTTTGTGATTCGTTTGATGATGCGATCAGATCTGTTTATATCTATATTTGTTTAAGTTTCTTAGTTTGGTTTTTAATCTTTCCATGTATGATCCTTATATGATCTTAAGGTGATTAATTTTTATTTATATGATTAAAGAAATTATCTTAATTATATGCTTAATTTATAATTATAAATTTTTATTATAATTCAAAATATTTTTTATTTTTAATAAAATTAACTTCTTCTTATTAAAAAATAGAAATGGCTCCCCAAAAGTGTTGGCAGTTGTTAAATATTGAGATAGACATAGAACTGACAATTGGGCGAGATGAGTGGTTTTTTTGTTCGCTCTAACTTTGAAAAAATAAAAATAATTTAACCCGTTTTAAATATATATTAGTTTTCAACTAGATTTTAGTTCGATTAACATAATTATTATTGTTGCAGATGGAGAATTTATTATTTATTATCAAATTACTCATTTAAATTTATTTATAAATTTATAATTAAAATATATAAAATTATTTATAAAATAAGTAAAAATAGGTAATTGGATAATTTTCTAAGGTAAGTGGTGGGATTTGATCTAAACTTAAATCCAACTCCAAAATATTTAATTTAAAAATTATCAAGCGCAAAATTCAATTTTATAAAGTTAAATTAGATTAAAACATATTAAATTTGAGTTATTTTATAATCTCTAGGTAAAGAAAAAAAATGAAACCCTAGAAACAATAAAAAATAGAAAAAATATGATTGAATATGAATTTGAATGCTTTTTCTATAAGTTCATAAACATGATATAAAAGCTATAGTAATTTCAAATTTTAAAAATCCCCTTACCTTATGATGTCTAAAGATACAAAGGCCAAGGTACCTTTTAATTACCTTTATGTATGACATGTAAGAATAGTAAGTAAATCTAATATAAAACCTAAAATTCTAGTAATTTGGGATTTGTTACGTTCAACCATCAAAAAATAATAAATTAAATAAAACAATTATATTTGTATCTATAAATGAATTAAAAATCTTGAATGTTGATTTTTTTCTACGTCACATTTATAAAATAACTCAAATTTAGCCCATCCGCCACATCATCTTTCACGTTGTTAACTACT